GATTCTTTTCCCTCAAAGCCTTTGCTTCCTGATCCACAAAGATGGGTCATTGTGCTGAGTAAGATCTCTTCTTGTTAGATCTTCTTCTTCTTGTTAGATCTTCATTCAAGAATCGATGAAATTACATCTCCTCACATCTATGATAATGCATCAAAATACTAATTACGACCTTCTTCCAAAGATGCTAAGGTTGAGGCTGTTAAAGTCTAGGAACAAAACCCCCTGGGGGTTTGAGCAAGCCTTAAGTCTTTCTTCTGGAAGTTCCCCATTCATGGTTAATGTGTTGTCTGACAGCCATCATGGCACAGTTAACTTTTCTTGCGAAACTGTGAGTTTTCTTAGGAAACTGTGAGTTCTTTCATATTTCATATTTCATAAAGCTATTTGGCTTTACCTCTTACAAATCATCCTTTGAGAGAATAGTGCAACATCTAGTACAGTACATCATATGAATCTGCCACAGCCCAACCACTGGGATCCAACATTCTTGTGCTCTTCGTTTCAATGCTCCTTTTCTTCCTCATTGTGGTGGACATTTATATGTGTAGAGATGTACTTATTTTAAAAAGCAGTTGTGAGAGTCCCTGATTTTATCATGTAATAGTTAGGATTGTGTCTCCACCACTCTTTTTCCAAAAAAAAAATTCTGGTATAAATTTAGAGGTCATAAAAGTTACAACAAAGACTCAGGCAATAAAATCCACACATATTGTAAAAAAATAATAATAAAAATAACCATGAATACAGTCCCTGGTATACTCAGTCACTGCACTAGGGACTTTATGTCTATATTGATTGTCTCACTTGAAATCAAAACAGGGGAGCAGAGTCATGAATGTTCTGAAACTCATAAATTTCCTTCCCGGTCATCTCTATATCCTTCTTGTCTTTTTGACACTGCGCTTACTAGCTTTCACATCCACTAACGCTATGCGGATAGCCTGTTCCTAATGTGCTCTAAAGGGCATTGGTGAGGGGTCTGCCACCTTGTTTAGGGCCAGTTGACTCTGTTTTGAATGGTGTAATATCAGTAAAACAAAATCATTGGGTTAATTTGGATACAACGAAAGAGCTTAGACTTTAAAAAAAAAGTTCATTCTGAAATAAATAAGCCTTCAAGTATAAGTGTACACATGGAACAAATTCCTAAGAATGTCTGGAGTTCCAAAAGCAAAGAAAGCCTTTGTGGTCCTAGGTGCCTTGGAAGCATATTTATTAAAATCAAATACCAGCTATGTGGTATCATCTGGGGAAGCAAAGAGTTAGGAGAATCCGCGTGTGTTTGGCAATACAGTACAAAGTGCAATTGACTTCTCAGACTGCTGAAATAAATGTTTCTTCTCTTACTCCAGAATACCTTGATTTTCAGGTTCCCATAGGCAGAGTGACATCTTTCTCTTGAAATAGATGTGTGCCATGATCTGTACCATAAGCTTCTCTTGATCGACATGATGAGATAGAAATAGCTCAGCTCCTTGCCTGGCCTGAATCTTAGAGAGGAGGACAAACCAGGTTTCTTCAAGAACCTTTTCCAGATACCCTAGAACCCTTTTCTTGCATAGCTTATCTGGAGCTGTAAAGTTCAAAGTGTGCAACCCAAATTCCAAGTCCCCATTCAACCCATTCAGCCTTTCTGGGCTGAAGGGATCATTACAATTTTGGTGTAGTTTTTGCTCTCACTTTTTTCCAAGTTCGATTTCCCATTGTGAAATTCCATTCTATTCCAAGTATAAAGCATACCTGTCTATACAGAGTTTTCTGCAGGGATTAAATCAGATATTTTCTTTTCCTGCTAGACAAAATTTAAAGGACCTCTGATATTTGAGCCCACCAGATTCCTAGCATTTTGAATGCAGAAGCTGATTTTCTTATCACTGAATTTCCAGTGCATTGCATACAATGGTACTTAACAAATCTCATGAAATAATTAAACAAATTAATTTTTCTTTATTACACTCTCATCACAGTAGTGTGGACGTATGAGAATAATTTGGCCAACTTATGATTAGCTCCGGTTATATTAGGTCTTTCAAACTACAGTTCCAGTTTTGGAACTGTTTTGCACAAAGTAGGCATAGGGTGCATAATTTTTGATTAATTAGCTCATTTTTACCTATAATTAGTTCATTTTTACCTATATACCTTGGAGTTTTCTAGGTATGCTTTCATGAAAAATTAGTGCTTCATAATATTAATATCATGTCTAATAAGTCTAAACTCTCTGTTCTAAGAATAGGCACAGTTATGGAATAGAACTTTCTCATTTTGATGTTCTTTTCATATATATATATACTTTCAATATTTGCTTGTGTGCTGATACTTGACGGTCAAAACTCACACTTGATCTCAAATACTTTCTTCCTAGCCCAACAGTTTTGCTTTTATCTAACCTCTGTGAAACTGATTAATCTCATTCATTTTGATCTTGCTAAAATATGACTTCTTGAATTTTTCATGTCATATTGTAACACAAAGATATCAAATACATAAAATGAGATCATTGTTCTACCTGAGAAAATTATTCCTAGTTTTTATGATGGAATTGACTCATCAACATTTTATGGGGGGTTTGCCAAAACTACTGCCATTTCCTGGGCGTGTTTCAGAACCACTCGTAAATCTGAGATAATATAATCTTGGACTATGCTGTTAACCAAGTCTATTAAATTACTCCATTATACTGTTACTTTGTCTGATAAAAGGATCTTTGTGGAAGCGCACACTACTTCTTCCCATAACTTATGTTCAATCCCAGACCCTAGATTTCTGCTTTCTTGATGCAGGCTATGTTGGAGAGGTTGTCTAGGAGTAGACAACTTGAGTGGGTTTGGTTTATTTTTCTAGAGTTTTTCTTTAAAGGGGAAATATTAAAGCAGAATTATCCCAGATAATTTTTCTTTTTCCTTTTTTTTAAGATGGAAAAACCCAGCTCTTAAGATTCCTATCATTTATTCATTTATGAAACATACATTGTGCCCACACTGATAATGACAACTTACTAGACATTGGAAACATACTGTTGATCAATACAATCCCAATTCCTGCTGTTCTGGCCTTATGATCCAGCAGGGAATTTAAACAGCATGCCTACGGTTTAGGAGATAAAGCAAGTGCCAATCCCTTGTAGGTTATAAAAGAACATAAGGTAGTTCTTCTAACTTTAGATCCATGATAAATAATTTCAGCAGGAACTCCACTGAGTTGCTGAAAAATACATCCCTCTTTAAGATGTAGATGCTAATATGCTTCTGCAAGGATATTAGTGAGTTAAAAAAGAAACAATTGGTGCATATGTGGATAGTTTGATTTGTTCCCCATTTTTTGGTTGTTATTGTTTCCAATAACTTGTACACATAAAGAAGAGCATAGTGACCTGTTAGATGGTAAATAGTGCAATCATGTCTGGTGAAAGATTCCAGGAAGATCAGACTCAGGAACCAAGTCCCCAGGAAGCAACATAGGGTTGGTTAGGTTATGGTCACTAATGGCACTCTCAGTCATAGAATAGAGTGGGAAAGAAGTCAAATAACCCAAGAAAAAGGCCCTTTTTCCTTGAAATTTCCAGAAGGCCAATGGAAAACCACAGGAGACAGACTTCATGTCTGATGTATGTGGTCATTCTTGTGCATTTCCCACCTTGGACTTCAACCATTCATGAAGCCCTTGTGAAAAACTCACTTCTACCACACACAATGCCTGCTCTGGACCAGGGGTTTTGGGCTTTGGTTGTAAGTTCCTAAAGTCGAGGGCCAAGCTTTAATCTTATTTTGAGCCTTCTGCATGGTACCTATTGACACGTGGGTTTACAAGAACCAATCTTTGAGGAAGTGGTTCTTTTCTCTCATATAGTGCCAGATCCCTGCATTAGCAAGGATGAAACCATTGACCAGACATCTGCCATAGCTACCATGGCTCTTGACAAGACTATGAAGGGGAGCATCAGTGACAGTTGCATACAGACATTTGTTTAGGCCATTTTTTGTTTGTTGGTTTTTTTTTTTTTGAGTTGGAGTCTCACTCTGTCGCCCAGACTGGAGTGCAGTGGCCGCTCCTGGCCACCGCAGCCTCGACCTGCTGGGCTCCGGCAATCCTTCCGCCTCAGCCTTCTGAGTAACTGGAATTACAGGCATGAGCTACCATGCCCGGCTGATTTTTTAATTTATTGTAGAAATGAAGTCTCGCTGCCCAGGTGGGTCTCGAACCCGCGGGCTCAGGCAATCCACTCACCTCAGCCTCCCAAAGACGCGGGATTACAGGCTGAGCCACCGAGCCCGGCTTGTTTAGGCCATTTTTTAATCCCCTTGATGGCAACCACCCACAACCAGTGCTTAGGCATGCAGGAAGAGTGAGGCAATAATACTGCGCTATAGTCATTTAGCTAACTCAGCCCAACCCAGACAGAAACCTTTTCCATCATTGTTCTTCAGAGAGTAGCAACATCTCATATGAGGCCACAGGATGGCTTGTGGTCCATTTCATGCTTATACAGCAGGGCAGAGCTCCCGAGGCTGTCTGCTTACGCTTTAGCTAGCCTTATGGTTATGTGTGGTTTTAATATTTTCATTGAAGAAATCTGGAGCAAAATTGGGTGGTTCTGGAAATTTTGTCTACTTGACTATCAATACATGTTGTGTAGCTTGCTTGTATTATTTTTTTTCTGGGTCCCAAAATACATTGCATCACATGAGCACATTTTGCAATAAAAGCAGGCATTCTCCTCCTGCTGAATAAACTGGGATGAGTGTTCTCTATATGACACAAAATATAAGTGTCTCGGCACAGTTTCCAGGTTGGATTGTGTACATGGAAGAGTGGTGTTTGGGCAGAGCCAGAGTGAACAGAGTGGACTTTGAGTCCTCACTCTCTACAGGACAACTGGGGAGTGACCCTGGGGAGTGTCACTTTACCTGAGCCTGAGATTCCTTACTTTTAAAAAGAAGCACTTGGATTAGATAAGTTCTGTGTGCCTTCTTCGCTCTAATTTTTGTTTTAGATGGATATTTTGTACTTATGTATCGTGGGGACAGATGTGAGTTGGAACCTCATTCCAAAGGCACTGAACTTAGCTCCTGCCCAGAGGGGCACTCCACTTCTGACAAATTCAATTTATGACTACATAAATTGAAAATTATTTTAACTTGTATGTGTGTATACACACATCTGTCTACTTTCTCTCTGCCAATTCAGTACTCATCATAAATGCTACACTTGGGATAACCACCACCTTTTACAGACAAGGAAACTGAGGCACAATACTAAACAATGGCAGACCAAGTGAGGTCTTTTTGAGAGCTTTTAAGTGATTTTGCCAGGTTTTCTTGAATAAAATATTTGTTTAAATTCTTTGTTTTGGAGATGTGACTATCTCGTTCCTCTCCTAATGTTAGTTCAGTAGGCAGTTTCATGGATACACAATATGATTTTGCTGAGGATATTATTTCCTTACTTTGGAAAACAGTTAATCACTGGAGTGTTTTACACAAGGGGGTAATGATCCTAGAAGTAACTTAAACTGCTTTCTTTGCTTACCAAACCAAAATCCAAATCAGCCAACCAAACAGAAAAATAGCACAGCTCATCAATTTCTCCCTGTCCCGGTTCAATCATGATTAAAAGTAAGAACAGCAGATAAATATGTATCCTAGAAGAGATTAGTGGTACCATTTATATAGTGTAAAGTCATGCAAACCATGCTGAAAAGGAAGCTCTTCATTGTGGTGACATGGGGAGAAAGAAGGTGGTGGGAAGCCCCTGCCTGTGTGGGAGCCACCACGCACATGCATGCGTCTGATGCAGCCATTGGTGTCCCCGCTGGTAAGTGACGGGTGTGAGAGTAAGTGAGCTGTACAAAGTCTGTCTACATTACAAGGAGGAGTCAACCAGTGACCTCTTTTAAGTGGGCTTGTTGGAAGGGGTCCATACTGAATCAGAAATCCCATCCCCCGTGGACGACAGAGGCATGGAGCCACTGGGCGTGAAGGGGTCCGTGTCTGTGTCTGTCTCACCCTCAGCGAGGAACCGCTTCTCCCTCATCCAGCTTGACCCTCCGCTGGGGCCAAACATGTAATCGTCTCTGTCCTGGGAGATGCTGAAGCCACTCGGAGACCGCTCCAGCTCCTCGTGGTTGACCGACATAAGGGACAGAGGCGTGTCGCTGTCCCGTGTGAGGCTGCGTCTCTGCCGGGGAGAGATTCGGTCCGAGTAGGGACCCTGCAGTTCAGCTTGGGAGTGGCAGCTCACTCGGGAGTCAAAAAGAGTCAAGATAGGCAGGACGGTGGGCCTCTCTGCGTATGGAGTGGCCGAGGAAGGAAGAGTTGTTGGAACCTTTCCAGAACTGGGTCCTCCTCGGGGCAGGTTCACGGGGTCATGTGCAAAAAACCCGTAGGGGCCGACTTTGTCGATGGGCACCTGGTGGAAGCTGTAGGGGGGATCAGGGGGCGCTGTCTCAGAATAGTTGCAGACGATGGTTTTCAAATCAGAATACCTGTTGTCCTCCTTCTTCTCCACTTCAGCTGGCGAGGAGGTTTTCTTGGTCGGGTAATACTCTGCGACTTGTACCTGCAGTCGTTCCATGTGCTGCATGTGCATATCTACAAGGAAATCTAGCTTCTTCCCCATGTCCTGAACCTGGAAAAGATAAGGAACTGGGAATTACTGCTTCCTCTGGAGGCGGGGGCTGTTGTTATTGGTTGGGAGAAAATATGTGTACTTTTCGAAGAGAATGCTGTAAGGCTTAATAATAAGAACAGCAGCTAACAATGTATTTTGTGCCTCTTACTTTCAAGACTTGCACATGTTTTAGTGCTGATCTAGAAACAACCCAGGCAAGGGCTTTCCAGGAAGCAAAGGCTGAAAGCAGAGAGATGGTTTGAGGGTAAGTGTAACAGGCCTTCTTTGTCCCCCAGAGGAAGAGGTGACCTTGCTAATTCTGCGGGGGCCAGGGGGTAGGAATTCTTGATTCATGAACATTTCATTAGATGGAAGCATGCGGATTGTTAGTGCATATTTCTGGTACACGGTGATATAAGTCCCAAAGGTGCAAGGGCAGTGGTTAGCAAGAATTGAGTTTCTTAGAAGGGGAGAGCCTATGGAGAAGTCTTGAGGTACAGTAGAAGCTACAGTTGCTCTTACCTGCCTAAAACTGGTAATTGAATTTTTGTGAGTGAATATACATGAGTGTGTGCACACATGTGTGCTTGATGTTCTTGTCCTGTTCTTTCAACAGGAAACACTGTCGTCAGGCACATCACCCTGTTTTACACAGTAATAGGCAATGATCAGGGTGTTCAGTTTCTGTCTATTTTTTTTCCTTTTCTTGAGGCAGTCTTGCTCTGTAACCCAGGTTGAAGTACAGTGACATGACCCTAGCTCACTGCAGCCTCCTGCCTCGGCCTCCCAAGTAACTGAGACTATAGACATGTGCCACCATGCCCATTCTGATTCAGCTTTATGCACTTTATTGACTCAATTAATTTTCTTGTTTTTTTTTTTTTTTTTTTT